CGTGCGTGAGCATGACAAGAAAAAGGCAACGGCCCTAAAATATCCAGTACAGAGCTATAAAAATACACGGCATAAGGACTCGCGGAACGCAAGTAACTCGACACTACGAGCATATAAGCTTCCACGCCAACCCCAGCCTCTCTCTCGCTCGCTCTCTCGCTCTCCCTCTCTCTTGTCTGGCTTTTTTCACCACAAAGCTTTTTGCTGCGACAGTAAAAGCTCTCGGCCTCGGAGCTTTGTTTGCGACAGCTGCGGAGTTTTTGGCGCCAGTATCAGGAGGAGCCACGGAAAAGCAGTCAAGAATCAAGAATCCAGCTATGTAATAGCAAACACACAAATATGTCCATATACCACAGACTACATTATGCCCAGTAATCAGACTACTGAATACTGAATGAATTAACATGCCTAGCATAAATTTAGATGTACGAAAACAATCCTAACAGATGGATATACATATTTACATAAATCTGAAACCTCATTTTGACTTGTTTGGGTTCATGCTCCTACGCAGTATTGTATTTTGTATTAGGACTATGCTCCACGAGTGGCGGCATCTAATCTAATCGCATTAAATCAGTGCTGTTCACGCCCTCACCATGGAACCACCTGCGCGACTTGCTCTGGGTCCTGCCTCGTCCACTGCTTGTTGGTTATCAGCGCATCAACAAAAATATTTATCATCATTTGCAGCTTGGGAAAGGCAATGGCAGCGGCGGGAATGGCCTCCCCCGCTGGGAGTGAACCAACGTGAGCAACCGTACTCCGGGTCTCTATCCCTGTACTTCTTCGGCCTGGCTCTGGCTCTGGCTTTAGTCGCTCTGGGACTCTCGAGCGTTTAACTGCCTCAAAGCCATTGTTAATTAGTGCACCGACCTTGTCGTAATTAGTGTGCACATTGCACAGGGCTGAGCCTCGTGCTGGGCAAGGGATGAAGGAGGAGGGGTGGAAAGTGGTTGAGTGGGGAGACCCCCAACCAGGCTTAGGGTCGGTCTGCCCTAAGCCGACAAAATGTTGTGCTAAGTTTTGGGCGAGTGCCGCCGGCGGCGCCAGCCTGAGGAGGGATGCAACCCACCGCATTCCGCATTCAGGATGAAATGCGGTTTGTTGCTGGCTAGAGATGGGCAGATGGGTGCTGCCTTGGGTGCTGCGTCACAAAAGCCAACGAAAGCTAATAATAAGTTTTGCGTTGGGCGAAAGGCCAATCCAATTTTCAATCGGAGAGTGTCCCATAAGGCAGGTTGTCAGGGACAGAGGCGATATGTAGGAGTGGTCTGGCAGGGTCTGCGCCAAAATGCAGAGCCAGAAGTTAACTGAGGACCACCACTCCAATAGCCAATCAAAGTTTCCGCAATGAAAATTCCCAGATAATAAAAAAGATCTGAGATCTGAAATCGTAGCGACGGATACGATACAAGTGAAGTGAGAATGGGAAAGTGAACAGATTCATTGGATTTCCATTGAAATGTGTGCGACAATCGCATACTAATCAACAGCAAACATACGAGAAAATTAGAGGAAGGAAATGCACTCTCCCAGTGGGGAAATTCCCGGGCAAAGCTTGATGGAGAAAGAGAGAGAGAGGGCAAGTGGGGCAAAACAAATCTAACGTGAGCCAAATTCCAGATTCCAGATGCCAGCTGCCAGCTGCTGCCTTTGCTTATTTGCTGGGGAATCAATCGCTGCAGCTTGGCATGAGCATGAGCCTACCTACTTAAAAGCCTTCCTTCTCCTTATATCTGCCCCAAATAACAAACCTCCCCGCCCCCCGCCCCCCGCCCCTTATGGCCTATGACAGTTTCTATGGCAAAGATTTGGCCCAGCTGCCGCAGCTGTCTAATAGCCGGCTCATTGTCTTCTGTATGGCATTTGGGATTTCGCATTTAAATTCAACTTAAAAAACAATTAAATATTTTTCAACTCTTCCACGCTGCTTTTTCCACACAGACTGGCAGTCTGGTGGTGTGTCTTTCCACCTGTTTCCTGTCTCCTTTTTAGGGTGTAAAGCGCCAAGAAATAATTAGGCGCATAATTATTTAATTTTGTGTGTGTAAAAGAGTCGACGGCAAAAATAAATGCCTCATAGGCCAAAAATAAAAGAGAGGCGGACAGAGAAAGAGATGGGGCAGGAAGGGAAGCGGGAAGAGAGTGCAGGAATGGAGGGATATGACACCATGTGAGCGTGTTTGTTGTTTTTTGAGTGGAGTGGAGTGAGACTCCGTTAGGACATAATTATTGAAAAATACTTCGGATGATGAAAATTAATCGACACTTTTCAAAATTGTCGACGTAAAAATAAGCAAATGAGAGCCTCCAGGTGGGTGGGCTGGTGGTGGTGGTGGATGGGGTAGATTTAAAGTATCCTGACACTGCGGCTGCTTGACTGGGCGATCCACTGCCACCCTCCCCTACCCTACCGTCCAATCACTGTTTGCAGCCCCGGGGCGACAGCTTCCAGACACTTCACCGAATGCCGGCGCCAGCATCTCAGATACAGACAAAGAAAAACACTAAGACTGAGACAGAGACACCCTTGTGACGGAGAAACAGAATGAGAAGAGATTGAGATGGAGATGGAGATGGAGCGAGGAGGAAGAAAGAAGTGAGAGTATAAAGAATCAAGTGCCAACTGAGCAGAGTACAGTGTCTGCAGCTTAATGCTTGATATTCGAACGGGATACCACGGGTAGAGAGAGTCTGTGATTAAGTATGTTTACCATGGCGTTTGCTCTGCTCGATATTAGCGGAAATCAAGAAGAAGAAAGAGCAGAGAAAGTGGAACAGAGGCAGAGGAGTGAAATAAGAGGGAGATAAGGGGTACATATCTCTTTCGCGACGCTCAGGGGCACGTATGCCCAATATCACATATTAAAAACTCTCCCAGCCTCTAATTGATGCTGAGGGTTACGATGCCACTGCCACTGCCATTGTCATTGTCTTTGACTTGGTCTTGGTCTTGGTCTTGGTCCACGTCATATCGTGCTTGGCAAATCGTCGGCGATAAAGCCAACTACATAATGTCTCTGTAGGCCAATGATTGGAGTCGGAGTCGGAGTCGGGGGGACACATAAAAATGCTATGCTGGCGTCTCAGCGACGACGCACACACAAATACACACAATTTTCTAACTGCCTGATCCCTAGCCTCCATCAAAGCACCCCGCAATGTCATTATTCCGTTATTCCGTTCCATATGTGGGCCTCGGGATAGCGCGCGTTATCCTGATTGCCAGCCTTGATATTGGGTCATGGGCCAAGGGATATGAGCAGGCTGCAAACAAGCCGCTTAAACTTTCCTCAGCTCTCTCTCTCTCTCTCTCTCTGCTCCACCCCAGGAACGCAGCTTGCTGCCCTCCTTGGAGGGGGTATGAAAGCTAAGAGGAGCAACTTGCAGAGTTGCTCCTACACATAGTAGTACTTATGCAGCTGCGAGTGTTATCTGGTAAGACCCACCAACATTTATTTCGCATCATCGTTCGATTGTAAGACCATTTACCAATTCTTATTTGAAAAGAACTTTACAAACGAAGAAGAAGAGTATTCAAGGCTTCGGTTTTTTGGGAGATTCCTCTGCTGTCTGGTTAATTTTTTTTTTTTTTTTTTCATACATTGCTTGCTCTGGGCCTATCGTGATTTGGGTCGTTTCTTCCCCGGGCTCCTTCTGGCTACTGATTCCTCCCGCTTGCTGGCTTATTGCCTTTGTGCTTTATGCCCATCATCATTTCTTAAAGGACACACACAGGACCGGGACCGGGAACGGGACTGGGCCGAAGCGAAAAAATCGCAACAGAATCCGATTTTTTTTTGCTCCTTTTCTACGGCTAATTGGTTCCAAACTCCCAACTGGCGAATGATTATGGCCGAAGGCAGCATGGAATGGGAGAATGGGTGCCGCGCATGGGGGTGTGGGGGGAACGGCAACTAGCTAAACAACAATTTTAATTGCGACCAGGCAAAGTCATCGTCCCCCCAACCACCCGCGCTACGTCTGGGGCGAGGCTCGGGCCAAAAGGCAAATGAGCGAACGCTCCAAGAAATATGAACGAGGTCAATGATTGTTTACACTACCCTCGAATGCTGTTTACTTCAAGCCAGGCCATGACTGGGTGACTGGGGGGGATGACTGAGGGACGACTGAGGGAGGGATGAACGGTGCGGGGTGCGGGGTGCGGGATGGGAGGTGGACTGTGGGCTGTGGATCGCTGATGGTACAGTTGCAAACAGTTAGTAGGCACCCAGATGGGATGGGAGTGCGCCTCTTAGCGAGCACAGTGGAACAGGCAGTGGCAAAAAATATCATCTCCAAATTGGGTAAGGGCTAAATCGGGATAGCCCAGGTACTGGCAGCTGCAGCGTTGATTTTTTTCGCCGTAAATCATCGTCAATGGATCCCACTGTGCGGATGGAGCGCATGCCGCTCGCCCATTATGCCTCTAGGCTCCATTGCGAGTGTGTGTGTGTGAGTGTGAGTGTGTGTTAAGCATGTCTATGTACTTAGACACACACACACACACATCCGCATACAAGGAGGAGAGTGAGTGAGAGAAGGAGAGAGATATGAATATGTGTGTTTCAACAGATTCTACTACTGTTCTTGCCTCATTTACGCGCCACGTCACGTGGCCTGATTCCACTGCGAATTTCCACTGGAAATGGAAATAGAAAAAAAAAAAACGTGAAGAGTGGAAAGTGAAAAGTGGAAAACGAAAGGATGCGAAGGGGCGCATAGAGATCCCCAATGGACTGATCGAATCACATCCAGTTGCCTCTGACCCAAAGGGAACGTAAGCAAAGGTCTCCGGTCCGTGCACCAAAACAGATTTCGATAATAAGTATACGCTCTAACGAAGTCTCCAGATTTAGTTTGATATGTATTATCAATTAATACAACTCCAATTATTTGGCCGTAGCTGGTAATGGCAAATTTTATTTCACAGTGCAATGAATTAATTTATGATTATAAACACAGACATAGGCATGGGCATGGACATACATACATACCTGATTTACCTGTGCATTTGTGTGGTTCGGAGATGCGGAAACTGCAATTAAAACACAGCTCTGCTCGTACTCTGCGGTCTCCTGGAGTTCATTCGCTTTGGGGACTCGCTGTGCAATTGATTAGGCGTTAATTATAAACGTAATTTACATAAACGTTGATGCGAAAGATTCGCGCAGTTCACAGGGACAAAGCTACCGCTTTTGAATTTGTGATTTGAGGTTCTGGCAGCCTATTGCAAACCAATTGAAACAACTATTTGGCGTATTAGCGCGGACTTTTAATAGGAATTCGCGAGGGTGCGGTGCATGGGGATGCCAGGTTTTGGGGGAAAGCAATTGAAAATGTGCACAAAATAAAACAGAACAAAAATACAAAAATGGGGGTAAGGGAAAACACAAAGAAAGTTGCCAAAGAGCCAAAAGAGAAAAACTAGTCGCGTCGCGTCGCGTTATGTTGCGTTTTGGGCAAGCTGAGGAGAACATGCAACTTGTGCGAAAGGCAATCGAATGGCAGAAACAACTGCCCCACTAAGGAAGTGGCAGGCCTGGGGCCTCGGCCTCTGTCGCTAGCAGCTGCCGACCGCGCAGTCAGCGCAGACAGCTGGCAGCGGACGATAATAAAAGAATCGAGCAATCGAAGAATTAAAGAATTAGAGAATTGAACAAGTAGCAAGTAGCCAGACAACAGACGATGCTATCCGACTATGGGATACCTGTCTCCTGTCTCCTGTCCCCTGTACATAAAAGCAAAAGAAATACTGCTGGCTCTTCCTTGTACACTTTTCCTTCCACACACTCAGGGAAGTCAGTCAAAATATTCTCCCTCTGCATGTTGCAACTACAACGCGAATCCAATCCATCCCCTGATACTGTCCCAGCACGAGGTATCACAAACAATTGTTGAGCAACAAGGAATTTACTTTGGCCCAGAGAGCTTCGGTTGTGCCTGTGACTAATTATTGTCGAGGCACAGGCAACGGTATCCATCAGTAGACAATAGTCTTGTCTTCCCCATGCATCCCACACCTCACATCGTACACCCATGGGGCTCGGGCTCCGCTTGTTATGGTCTGCCTAAATATAGTAAATAATACAAATTCAGGCAAGGCATACAGAGAGAGAAAAAAAAAAAAAAAAAGTAAAATTAAAATAGAAAACGGCAAACAAATAAACAACAAAGCGGCAACAGCAGGAACAGACACGGATATGGACAACAGGCAAATCAAACGAACCGTTTATTGGGGTATTTTTATGTGAACATGTGCGGATCGAGCAGCGCCAAAGCGAACACTGCAGACACTACCTTCGGCACCTGGCAAGGCCCGGCAGGCAGATAGAATTCTCTGAAAATGGGAAATCTTTCTTTAAATCTTTGTTTAAGAAGGTTGTGAGAAAATCTTAAAAGAAAATCCCAATAAGTTATTTGATGTGAGTGTTATCTGTTGTTGCTATAAAAGTTGTAAATATTTATTTTTTTATCTAATTCCTAAGCATCTCCGCTACAAGGGCTTCAGATGTCTTTCCGATCGACCAATCTAGCAGATTCCCTTTAAATACTTAAAACAATGATAGTTTCCTGCCCACCCCCCACCTCATTTCGTGCGAGTATTTTCCATTTCAATTTGCAATTCTCCAAATCGCCATCGAACGCGCGGAGAATAAATTAGTAATTGCGTACATAAGAGCGGCATTTAATGGGTACACCTTCTGTGGGCTCTGAAGGGGAGAGATATGTATGGTAATATGGCAAGGGGTAGGAGAGGGTATGGTACCGCGTCATTGGCGTCGACTGAAGCAGCAACAGAGACGCATCAACGGGCAGCGCGGCCAATGCCGAAAAGAATCGAGTTCGAAATTCGAGTGCCAATACGAATACGAATCGGGCCGATTATAATTACTGTTTGTTTATGCTAGATGAGTCAGTTGGTGTATAAGGTGTAAAAATATTAAAGTCCAATACTTTTTACTGTTGCGCATTCCATTGTTTTCGCATTTTTCGCTTATCCATATGGGTATGCTCGTACCCTTTCACTGAATGGGGAATGCTACGAGTCAATGAGGGTATCAAAAGTTTTCAACTCAAGACTTTGCTCTGTTTTTCGGTTTATTTGCCCCAGCAAATATGCAGATAGATTTACTCTTTACTCTCACAGATTCAGCAGCATATAGAGAGATTCGGATTCGGATTCGGATTCAGAATCTATTTCGGTTTTTATCTGGCTGCCTTTTATTATAAATAGTTGGCTGCCTAGATAAACACCCGGCGCTGCCGCTGCCGCTGCCGCTGCCGCTGCCGCCGCCTCTGGCTCTGCAACAGTCAGTGCCGTCTGCCTATCAGCAATGAGATAGAAGTGCCAACGGCGAAATCGACTTATCATTACTTACCGATGTCCATGTCCATTTGGCAAAACTGTCGACTTTAATTTCACAATAGTTTTGTCCACTGGGTATTTTGATATTTGCACTAACACACACTGGCAGGCACCGCCTTTGGTCTGATGTACATAAGTACTGCAATTAGTATTAAGTAGGACATGACACCAATCCACCAATCCACCAAGTTGACCTAACTTGTTACATTCTGTTAGCATGTCAGCATGTGAGCGACCATCAACACACTTGAAGTTTGCTCTGGGCACACATCGTTCATTCCCACACCCACCCACCTCCCATCAACACAAATACCTACCCCACATATCAGCAGAAAGGTTTTCTGTTAGCGCATTATACATTTATGAACGAAGCATGTATGGCTGGTACATTTCAACCAAATCTAATTCATGTAATCTCCCTATGTAAATATATCTGTCTCCACTGATTGCACATACGCCCCGTGTCCCATTATAGCATTAAATGGTCATTAAATAAAACGCTCACATGTCGAGCATGGTTAAGCCATATTTAGTTTCAATGAAGTCTATGAAGTGCTCCACAACCAAGTTGAAAGTTTCATCGCTGCTTCGTGCCTCTGTTTCGAGCACCTCGAGTGCTCCCCTGGAGTGTCGACTCCGTCAGCACAGTCCCAGGTCGCGAGTTTCTTAACTCCCATAATGTCGTAGGGCATGAAATAACTTACCTGGAGTAGACTTAAAAAGCTCTTGGCTTTCTCCTGAGAAAGCCACCACAGTTTCGTATTATTACGAATGAGATGGCGATTGAAATGTCACAAATAATTTATCCATTAACCATGGCGACCCAGGGTCATCGCAAGCTGTCGCATCGCAGTAACAGATTTCTCATGCCCATAGCCCTCCTAGAAAAAATATTAAAAAAAAAACGCTTCTTTCATCGCTTTAAAATTTTTATTTGAAGTAAGTAATATTTTCTGACAGTAACAAGATAAATTTTCCATTCCCCCCTTTTGCGATTACTTAAAAAAAGTATTTTCTTTGGTAAAAGAATTTGATTTTCATTTCTTGTTCTATACTCGTTCGTTCTTAATAAGTTTTTTTTTCTAGTGTGCATACGTACAATAGTAATTACCGACGTTGCATTAATAATAATAATTATAATCGGAATAATAATCGTGATAAATTATACAATGATGATTGATATCGGGTAAATATAGAGATAACAACGAACCGAAATCGAGTCAAGGAAAATGACAGAAACAAATATATTTTGTTATTGTTTTATTTGATTTTTTATTTGTATTTTTATTTTTGTAAAATATACGAATTTTTCCTAAGGTTTTTGTTTGTTGCTTTTACTGCAATTATTTTTGTTTTGTTTATTCTCCTCTCTTGACTTTCCATGTTTCGTGTTGTTTTAGCAAGACAAATAAGATTCAAATTCTGCTAAATAATATCACTTAAAACGTTTTCCTACTTTCTCTCATTTCTCCCTTAAATTGTATTAATTTTTCCTTTTATTTTTATTTTCCACGATTTATTTCAAACCCACTTTTTCTTCTGAACTTGGGGCTGCAAAAATATATAATGAATTATGGTTTTTTTTTTGTTTTTTTTTTTTGCATTTGAAGGCTTAATATTTCCCTGACCTGACGGTAAGCTTAAGCTACAAAGTGTTGAAGGCCGATTGGTAGCTGCGGAAAATTATGTGTAACATACTCAATTTTTGTGACAAAAAGCAAGCTTACCTCTAAAAAAAAAACCTTTAAAAAAATACAATTTTCAAACATTTTTCAAAAAACACTTGATTCATAAAAAAATCCATAATTCATAAATTTTGTTAGCCTTAAGATAAAAAAAGTTCGATTTTGTTGCATAGTGTATTTCTGGTATTATTATTATTATTAGTATCTAGTTGCTGTTTGACTCATTATTTCGGAGTGTGTATATAATGTATATAGTTATTATCGTATATTTATTTTCATATATATATATATATATATGTATGTGTATATAATGCATGTATATAAGTATGTAAAATATTGCTTGTGAAACGTTTAACTTGACATTCATGTGGTTTTGTCAACGGCGGTGGAAAGAAACTCATCTGCATCTCGTAGATGAGTATCTGTGGATCTGGATCTGGATCTGCTGCTGAGGATCGATCCACCTCCCTCGCCTTTCCATTGTAAATTATTAGAAATATTCCCATAGCCGGTTTTACAATTGACTTGATTCGATCCAATCCCAAAAAAATACCTTGCTCTTGCAGGTTTACTTTTTCTGAATTATCTTTTATCATTTTATGTTTTATCGTTTTATCTTTTTCATTTTGTTGTTTTTGTTGTTGTTGCTGTTGCTGTTACTTATATTTGTGTTCACAAACTTATGCAGTATAATTCTTTTCGTAATTGGTGTTCAATCTATGCATCTATGTTTAATTGTATATCAGTGTCTGTGGGTATATATGTGTGTGTGTGTGTGTTTGTGTGTGTGTGTTTGTGTGCTGTCGGTGTGCGCGTGATTCACTCAGTGTTATTTACAGTTTGATTTTGCTTTTATTTTCGAGTTTCTTGACCTCTCCTTACAATAAAAAATACAACGTGAAAACTGCCCATCCCCGTCATACTCATAGTAATTCCATTGTCATATCATATATATTTTTTTGTTAATTTTTGTATACTTTTTTTTGTGGCATTTTTTTGTTTGTTTTCAATTTGCTTTTAACTACTAGACTACAGACACATTTGTTTTGTCAGCTATATCACTTTCGAATTATTTAATTATTGATTAGGGTTTTCGCATATCCATTTTGTTTGTCATTGTCATAATATATAATATAATCGTACTCGTGTATATATACTCGTACTCGTACTCGTATTCGTACAAGTGTTTGTTTGTGTTAGCGTGTATTTTCTTAGAATTTTTATCGAAGAATTTCAGTGAGGTTTATAGAAGCGGTATTCGTTTTTCGTTTTTGTTTTTTTTTTCTTTAGTTTTCGTTATAGGTATTGCAGTGCTTACTGTTTAGAGTATATTTAAGTTTAAGTCATAAATATATATACACATACATGTCTGTATATGTGTGTGCGTGTATGCGTAGGTGTGTGTTTGGGTGTGTTGTGGTGGGGGGGGAGGAGTTTTAGGTTAGTGGCATGGCATATTTTTTTTTTGTTAAATTTAGTTCCATTTCATTTCCGAATAAGTCGAGCTTGAAAATAATTTACAGAAAGATAGGCAAATAGTTGGAAAAAGATAAGAGATAAGCAAGGTTAAACTTTTGATAGATTTGAGAAAGCAATGCAAAGCGGAAAAGAATTAATACAAAAAGGGAAACGGAAACGAAAAGGAAAAGGAAAAGGAAAAAAAGGAGATGAAAATATCTTATATATGTAGTATAGAGAGTATGTTGTGTCTGGTAGCTAAAATGTGATTATTAAGAGTGGAATATGTATGTACATTCGACTCGTGTGCGTAAGTAAGCAATTGTGATCGGCAGGACCCGTCTGTATAGATAGTTATCGGAATAGTTAGAAGGGGTTAACTGGTTTATCAAAATCAATGCAATAATAAAGCTGAACCGCATATAGAATAGAAATTAAATCGTATGATGGATTTTTGTTGTCGATTTTCTTTGTTATATTCGTATTCTTCTCCTCACTCTTTTTTTTCTTGTTCTTGCCTGATGACTGCTGCAGCTCGGCTCTTGTAGAGTAGTAAAAGTATATACATATAAATACATATATATATAAATATGGTGGAATATATATTGTATATATGTTCATGCTGGATGTGGCTTTATCAAGCTTTTGTTGTTCCTAGCTGAGACTGTGCGTTGTTTGATTTTTTTTTGTTATCATTTAATGATGGCCGCCGCCGCATTTCTCAGATGTTTCCATCGGCCAACGGCTGGCTCTATTGTCAATGTGTTTTGTTGTGTTTTGTTATTTTTTTGTAACTGTTGTGGCTGTGGTTGTTATTGTTGTTAACGGAAATCAAGGCAAAGCAGGTAAAAGAGAGAGAGTTACAGACAGAGAGAGAGAGAGAGAGAGAGAGATAGAGGGAGAGAAAGCGGAGAGAGAGAGAGAGAGAGAAATAGGGAGCAAATAAAAGCAAATATGCCTCTTAGTATGCAACACTTCTTGCACTCACAGCTGCTCAGAATTCTGGCAAGGCGAAATTACAGTGCGACTCATAGCTGTAGGGGCATCTCTCTGAAGGGAGTCTTTGTAAGAAAGAGATAGAGAGAGCGAGACATAGGGAGATACATATAATGAAATTGAGGGGGAGTGAGAGGGAGTTGTAGGGTAGCAGCTGGTAGCACTATTCACCTATCTGTATCTGTATCTGTATCTGTAACTTTATCTGTTTCTATTTATACTTCCTAAAGTCCTTAATTCGATTTGGGTTGAATCTATTAAGTTATGTTCCTCCCCCATCCGTCCACCTGCCTGTCCACCTGTTCTCTAATCAAACTGTCCTCTCTTACATGTATATATATATTTAGATATTGGAGTGTATATAGTCGCTGCTGCTTAGGTGTAAGAGACTTGACGGCTGTTCCAATTACTGTCTGAATTAGTTGAGTTAATTTAGTTTTAGTTTTAGTTTTATTTGTAGTTGTAGTTGTAGTTGTAGTTAAGATTCGTTTAGTTCGTTTCGTGAATGTATCTCGAAGGCTGCACTCGCTGAAGTAGACGCGATTGATTCGTAGGCTTAGCTCGGCTACAATTATAGTTAGTACAACTATGCAGATTTATTCGTGTTCGCAGTTTAATTACTCGTAATTGGTGTATGCTTCGAAAAAAAAAAGATTTGCACCTCCTCCACCTTTCAAGTTTAAAGTTAAATAAATAAATATTTTTTACTTTTACTTTTTTCCTGTAGGCTCTGAACTGCGATTGGACTACACCACGATTTTCTATATATTTTGTTTGTATTCTTGTGTATATTTTATAATGAATTTTCATTATCTTTTTCGCCATTCTGCTTTTTGCTTTTTACTTCTTGCTTCTTGCTTTTTTTTTGTATGTCATTCAGTTATCCATTTTCGTTATGCATCTATATATGAAAAATTATTATCATCTTCAATGTGTGTATCATTTGACGCGCGAAATCGAGAATGGGAAAACAGGAATCGGTAGTCGGTAATCGGTAGTCGGTTATCGGTTACCGTGAATCGGCAATCGAGAAAAGCGTAGGGAAAATTGCAAGTAAAGAGGGGGGAGTCGAGTCGAGTCGAGTCTCCTCCGGCTATAGCTTTCTGGGTTCGGTCTTAATGTTGGTTTAATACGTGCTTATTTTTTTTGTTTGGGCTGAAATCGGGTCTGTTTGTTGGGGGTCACGGCTATCCGTTTAGCCACCACCTAAACTTAACGCCTGAACTATACGTGGATCAGCTTTACTACCCTCACGAAATTCTTCTAATGTTAATTTTCCATCATGATTCTTATCCATCTGATCGAAGATCTTGTCAACGCGCTTCTGCGGCGTGTTCTCGTCCTCCGACTGCGGCTGCTGGCCCTGTGGATACATTGATATACAAACACATACATACATACATACATGGTTGGCGTATCCGTATACCCTGATCTACATGGTTGCCCAAACCACTTGTCTGCACTTACCACCATCTGGTAGATTGCATCCACAATGTTGTACATCTCCTCGCGCGTTATATACCCATCGTTATCCACGTCATAAAGTCGAAAGGCCCCTGTTAAAAAAAGAAAAAAAAGCCAATAGATGTACCAATATATCCGTATATGGGCATTTGTCGGAGCAAAGGCAGGTTGAGGGACCACACAGGGTCAGTTACAGTTGTCTTTGCCTTTGTCTTGGTCCAACTTACATTGCAGTTTTTCGTCCAGATTTCCCTTCGATGTGACGGAAAGGGCGCGTATGAACTCCTCAAACTCAATGGAGCCATCCTGAAGGATATGTAAAGAAAATAAAAAGAAGCACAGAAGAAAAGCAGGAGAAAAGAGAGAGAGAGAGAGAGAGAGAGATACGCACACATGAGACGATGATTGAGATCCAGATAGGGAATGGGAGGGGAATGGAGGAGAGGAGAGGCGAGGCGAGGACCACGCCCATTAGCCACAAATAATAAAAATGAGCAACAACAAAAACAGTGAGCGCTCAAAATATTTATGTATGATTCACAAAACCCCTGAAATTGGGCGGACTGGGAGGACAGGACGTTAACGTTGAACCAAAAATCTGTGGACCAAACATTTTCGTGGATGTCTCAGTTTTTTGGCCAAGTCAGCAAATGCAAAGGAGGCGAGGAAGCGGTGTGGGGTGTTTGTAGGGTTGATTGAACTGCTTGTGGCCTGAGGCGAGACCCTCCCCTTATGATATATGTATGTATGTATGGTAGGATATACTCACATTGTTTTCATCAAAGACCCGAAAGACGAGCGAGGCAAATTTACTCGGATCGCCTTGTGGGAAAAACTGTTTGTAGATTTTTATGAAGCCCTGCAAATGCAAAAAATGGAAGAGAAGAGAGAAACCGGGAGAGAGAAATACATATAAACATATATAAATATGTATGTATGTGGGTACATATGTATTAAGATGAATCAATTAGAGGCATGAATGGTGGGTGCACATGTGTGCGCTTGTCTGTGTGTCTTTGAATAATGAGAGCATTAATAAATTTCATTATCAAAAGCAGCAGACGACGCAGCAACAGCCATGTCATTAACAACCGAAGCCTGTCATGGCCAAATGGAGCCGGAGTCGGAGTCGGATTCGGAGAAAGCACGTACGAGAGTACATGTTGCCACCTGCTGAGGATGGGGATGTGCTCCACGATATTAGCTCCATTCGAGAGCGCCTCGAAGAGGGGGCGAGCACAAAAATTAGCTTAATCAACCAGTTGACTTGTATGAATTGGCGAAGCAGCCACCCGCCCGATATATGTACAGGGTGCATCCTCCCATGGCGTGATATAGAAGGCATAAGAGAGCCCAGTCCTCATAACGTACTTACCTGCTCTGTTAGAAGGCCATTGGGACAGTCTTTGAGAAATCCTTTGTGCCTGGTACCGTGAAACGTTCAAATGACAAGAAGGGGGGAAATAGGTTTTGGGGGAAATTATCATATACTTATTGACATTCTCAAACTACAATTTCTCCAGGCACATTTTCAATGCAAATTTTTTGCGCACTCACCATTGACGTATTTCTTTCTCTGTGACTGCAAAAACAAAGAACAGAAAACAATCAGAAAAATCGAAATGAATTAAAATTTCATAGAGCATTTGATGTAATTGCAATGTGTGGTTGAGGATGAGTGTAGGGCGTGACCTCTATATCGGTGTATGGCTGTGCCCCTCAGGCTGTATGCAAATGTTTTCTTGTATTCATTCGGGCCATCTTTCCCTCCAGATGCCCTCTATCCTTGCCATACCCTTCCCCATCTTCAGTGCCATTCATGAATAACAATTGTTTTTTTGTTTTCTTACTGCCAGTTTTTTTTTTTTTGTTCTTCATTTTGTTTGGTCATTGCCGACAGCCATTGGCATTGGCCATTGCTATCCATTGGCACGCTGCCCTGCTCTGGCCAGGCCTAATGGCCGCTTACAAAACGCTTAAACACTGCTCCCCAGGATACCTCCATGGCCCATGGGAATGGTGCACATGCTGTGGCCACGGACACCACAATAAATTGGAAGGGGGTGGGAGGTGGGACTGCCACACCTACAACCTCAATGGAGGGCAACGAAACAGAAGCATAAAAACATAAATTCACGCAAAATTACACACATTGGAATTGCTTTTATGGAGAGCATCCATAGGGGGGTGGTGGGTGGCACGCGCATTGGTCAATGGCCTCAATGGAAGTCTCTGGTGTGGCATTAGGGAACGGAACCCCAAGCTATCTGGAGTTGTAGATGGATATGGACGTGGCTGTAGAATAGATGGCGCACGAGATGAAACTGGAACTGGAACTGGGACTGGGACTGGGGCTATTGACTCAATGGCTACCAGTTATCTGCAGCGGCCACTCAAATTATTCATACTGCTGTGGTTCATATATCATCTGGGCAGAGGCTCTTCTTTTTGTTTGTTTCTCTCTCTCGCTCTCTCTCTCTCTCGCTCTCTCTCATTAATTTTCCCTCTTGTCTGCCAGCTGTTTGGGTATCATTTTTCATTTTGATTAGCCGCCTATACGCTTGAAGAAATGGCGGCAACATTTGCATTTTAATTAGCCAGAAAGCCACATAAATATTCTGCTTTTTCCTGCCCCATTGCTGCATCTTTTCCCTCTTTGCCTCTTGCCTGTTCCCCAGGGGGTATTTCGATTCAATGAAGTCAACAATTGCAAGGACCAAAATACCCAGAAGTGATTGGTAATCGATAACCTGGCCAGCAGACAAACCGACAAACCGACAAACCGACAAACAGATAGACAGACAGAAGTCTTATGCTGCATCCCACTCGCCCTTTCCATTCTACTGGTGTGTGGCATGTTAAAATACAACATAAAGGCATTAAAGGGAACTGCCACCCATTGTGTGTGCGTTCTTTGACATCTCTATAGCATTGACTGTAAATAAAGCTTACATTGCTCATACGACTTGTTGCCATCAGTGTCAGACACCACCACAATAACGAACGAGGAGCGCAGTGGCTTGTGGTTACAGGCCGCCTTTTGTTGCACCCTACGCAAACGGAGCACGGAGCCATTCCGACAGCCAGATGGGGACCTTCCCTGTCCCTTCGCACACGGGGGCTCCAGCTTAGCTTCAGAATTAATACGCCGTTTGTCTGTGCACGGCGGCCGAGTACCAGTACAATTAGCTCTGGAGTATCGGAAAATACAAGGGGAAGCAAGGGGAACACGCAGAATGGCAGGGCAGTGTGGAAGTTGCAGCACACGCCCCTCAATTGTTAACGCATTCATATACATTCCACACCTCGGTGCACCTGGCCAAAATGCACTCAGAGGCTTGTCATGTCCGGTGGTCTGCCATGTCACCCGAACTAATATAATTTCTGTCTATTTACTTATTTATTCCATTCGATTGGCCTGGCAGCTCTGTACAGAGAGAGTTAGTTTAATGTCCAATTGATTGGCATGTCAATGGACAGGACAAATATTGACCCAATTCAGCAACGGAGAACGGAGAACGGAGAACGGAGGACATTAGACAACGCACAACAGACTAGACTACGATTCTTCATTCCTCTTGGCGACTGTTGTAAATTGAGTCTTTAGTTGATTCATTTGTTTTGCCTGGCCAAACAAAAGCTGGTAATCCGCCAGCTGTTGCTGCTATCAGCCAAGGCACACACACGCAGCATTCAAAGCAAGTTGTGGGGTGGTGGGTTCTCCGAAATATACTAGCCCAAACATTGTACGAGTCGTTGTATTCGATGAATTAATATTTTTAGCACATGGCAAGATAAAACATAATTTTACGAGTATACTTAAATATGAAGGGGATTATGCAAAAGGGATAACTTTCTCTGACGATCTTTCTCGTCACGAGTGCCATGCACTCCACTTTTCTCCACTTTCAATTACTGGGTATAAACACAAGAACCCAGCTCAGTGGGTCAGATAGGGGAGAGAGGGAGGTAAAGTTGAGCTGTAGCAGATTGCAGCTTTTGGGATTTGTGTGAGCAAAGAGGATTAAAATTATTGAGTTGCATATTTAAGCAGGGAGCACAATGAATTCCATTTCAGCTTAGCCCTTAGCCCTTAGCCCTTAGCCATTAGCCCCCCCATTAGCCCCCCGTCCTTTGCCCTTTCCCCTTTCAATGCAGCCCACTGTCAGAGTCCGGCGAACGGGAAGACAAACAAATTGTAGAAAAAGCCATTCTAAAATGGTGAAAACTTTGGCAGCATTCTGTCAACACTTTTCCACAGCCCCAGAAAGTCTGCCCCGTCTGTCCCGTCTGCCCCGTCTGCCCCGTCTTCCCGTTCGCTTTTTGGCCAGGTGCCCGCAAATGCCCACCGGTAATTATTTATATGAACCCCACAGCAGAATACTTGGGCAAAGGAATGAAAATGGAAATGGGGAAAAAGCGAAAGCAATTAGTTACAAACTTTCGGGCCTCGAAAAAGTTTGTGACTTGCATTGTTAAGGAGAAAAAATGGCCGAAACAGAGAGGAGAACCCCAAAAACCAAAACAAAAAAGTGAGGGAGAACTGTGAGCCAGGTAAAGTAACAGTAAATCTCCTGCTTAGCAGTAAAAGTAGCAGTAAGTGTTACGCTACAAAATTGTAGCACACAGCCAATGACAATCAAATGGAAAATGGAGAACATAGAATGAGAGATTTTAGTTGGGAGATGAATAACAAATACATTCTGCATATAGCAATGGCAGTCAAAGTATCGTATTAATGGCTAAAACAGCAGCAAAAGGTATCAGCGTGATGTGATGGCTATGCACCATCAATATATGGGTATATTTCCGGAGAGAATAACAAACATAATCGCATTCATGGACTCGCAAAAGTTGTTCGATTGTGTGTCGTTCAGTGACTTCGTTGCCAGTTCACAGTGACTGATGAGTCAGCTTACACAGAAGGGGCTTATACCTCGATGGGCGATGGGTGATGGCTGCAAGCCCAGCCAGCCCAGCCCAGCCCTCTTTGATGAACCACTTCTGTGAAAACACTTTTGAATTATGCATTTATCTGGCGGATACAAAGAGATAACTTTCTGCACCTTTCCGTTCGTTTGATTGATAGCCAGACGCGGACCAGGGGACCCACTCCACTCCCACTCCGACTCCGGCAAATACGAAAACAATAACAAATCAAAATGAGAAATGCCAATCGGGGAAATGGGAAATGGGAAATGGGAAAAGGGACGGCAAAGTACTTGCCCGCATAAATGCTAACGGAAAATAAGAAAATAAATAAGTAAGCCATGGGAATTACTGCAAGACGAATCACAACGTAGATGGCGGCTTCATATAAATAGGGTTTATAAGGGGGCATCGATATGGGGTTGATATCAAGTGATTACGCTAGCTATGGGGTAGGGTAAAAGCTTAACAAATCACGAAAGACAGAGAGAGGGAGTGCTCTATTTAAAATATGAATTAAAATCTAAGAGAGAGAGAATTGAAAATTAAATATGTACACATCTTTTCCGATTATCGGTAGACAGATAAATAAACAGATATATCGATAGGTGTACTGCTCTTTAAATTTGGCTTATGTTTTCGCCTCACCTCGTTTGTTAAGGCATTCACTTCATTCACTTAACTCACTTAATTTATCTTACAGTTACAACACCCACACTGCATGCATAAACAAATCGATTCAAGTAAGTACTTACAATATGTGTCCGTTGTTAAGCGATCGATGGTATCCTGTTTCAACTTGGAGCTCTTTTTTCCCATGTTGTATTTGTTTCAGCTCTCTTTGCTAGTTTCTTTTTTCTTGTTTCTTTGTTTGCTGCTGCTGCTGTTGCTGTTGCACTTGGCTGCTATTGCTTTTTATTGCCAAACTAAAAGTTTTTGTTGCGCAAGTTTTTCTTTGCTGTTGTTGTTGTATTTCCTTTTATTTCCTTTATTTTCTTTTTTGGGAATTCAAAACTTTCCCATAAGTATTTCAATATTCTTTATAATTCTTCTATATAACAAAAATTAAATACGGGCATGAGGCAAAAATGAGATAATCAGAGAAAAGTTCATGGCATGGCATGGCACATTTGATGCTTAAACAACCTATCCGCGAGCAGCCACAGATTATGTATCGATACAGTATGTCAGAGATAGTTTTGAGTTTGAAGAAAAGTTTAAAACGAATGCGTTTTTTTAGCTCCAGAACTCTGTGATGGGGAGAGGGTTAGGGGTTAGGGTTAGGGTACACGAAGTGATCGCTGCTTTTCATGTTTTCTTGTTTCCCTTAGATCAGTGCTTGCAATTTGTTGCTTCCCAAATTCCTTGACCGCAGTGGAATCTTTCTGTGATCAGATGCCCTTTCTGTCAAATTATCCCCACCTGTACGTTTCTATTCGTCCATCACGATAGCGAGAAAAAGCTCTATTCATGTGGCTCATCAATCAAAGTTCAACTCAATCTTCAACTGTCCACTTGGACAGTGAGGTGGTGTGGGCGTTACCAGGCTCTGGCTGTTCAATTAGTAATTTTCGCACCAAACAACAACGCGCACAAAAACGACAATGCTGGTGATGATAACGCGAGGAGTGATGGTCGAGTAAGGGGCAAAGGGGTAGTTGGAGAGACAGGAGGCAGGCCGATAAAAAAAAAAAAAAACACACACACAAAACGGCAATTTGCAGGTCAACTTGCGACTCGAACTTTTCAAGCCAGTTACAAACAAAAACGTCGATCCGGTACATGAAATTACAATACCTGGGACCAAGTCTGTATTCAGTATGTATGTATTTTATAAATTATCATACGAAATTATAACGCCGAAATCGGAATTGGTATCGGAGTCGATTTTCTGTCTCGACTATTCAAGTGTATTTATACATTATCGGGTCGGAAACGCTTCCTTCTGGAACACATCTACACACAAACTAATATGCGAGTATCCCTCTCTTTGAGTACCAGCGTATAAAAAAAGAAGAATCGAAAGAGCGGTGACGTGGCAGAGCAGTGGTGTGGGGTTGGGTGCAGAGGCTGCAAACAAATGCGCAAAAAAAACTTAACCCTTTGTGTGAGGAGAATGAGGGGTATAGGGTATTTGCCATGGGGCATGGGGCATGGGGCATGGGGCAGGGGACATGGGGCACCTACGTGGACGTGCACTGGTGGCCAAAGAGGAGGCCACGCTGCCTTCTGCGGTTGACGCGAATGGTATAAAAATAAGTTGCCATTGTTTTTCTGCATAGCCATCCTGCCCCTCCAGGGATAGGGTGCGGGAAGTGGGGGAATGCGGGAATATGATGAGTTATAGAGGTCGAGAAGCATGAAATGAAATAAATTCTGTTAATTTCAGATGCAGACCCACAGAGATGTCACATGCAAAAAAACGTTTCCACAGAGTGCAGTAAACGCAAAAAAGAAACCAGACAAAACGAGAAGGAGCGTTGTGAGTCGCTTCTGTGGACGCGACTCTACTTTTATACCCGTACTCAGTCAGTATTTAAATTTGTGAGCTTATGAGTTATTTTGAATTCTATATATCTTTTACATATGAAATTTAGATTCTACATGCACAATGTAGATTCTACATCTTCTCCGCAAAGGTCGCGCATTGCACAGGACAGAGTGTGTGCGAGCGAGAAAGAGAATGAGTAGCGTCAGCAGCGCTGGAGGAGGTGGGGGAAGACTCTGAAAGTCAATTTCTTTATTTTTTTTATTCTGGCTATAATAATGTTTCGATCTGATTCAGATTCGGCAATCTGGTAGATATGGTCATTCTCTATGGTACGGCTAGACTGAGACTCGGCTGTTGATGCTGATATGGGGTCAGAAACGTTTCCTTCTCTCTGCGTTACACATATCCACTTTTACCACAAATACAATATACCCCTTAACGCTTTTTAATTACGGGTATAAAAATAAATCGTACTCCCTTAGAGGGGAGCGCGAGATGGTAATGTCATATTGTAGCTCTGAAAAGGGGGCGGGGATCAAAGCCAACGATCAGTCTGTTTATAAGTCTTGAATTAAAATAATCTGAATGACAGGTTCTTTTATGACCAAGATGTTTCCAGTTGTGAATCACTCACAAAATAAATATTACGTTCCCAAAATGGGATGCGGCGTGACCGATTCCTGATTTCTACCGAAATATCATTTCATTGATGCAATAACAAAGATTCATATACCTTATGAATTTACATGTGTACATATGTATGTATGTGTGCATCCCCCTATACGAGTACTAAGGGGGGAGCCGAAGGACCGACCTTCTCCGATTTTGTGAGGGTGAAAATTCTTGATGCTTTTGGCATTTTATGTTTACAAAAGTGTCTGACACACAGGTTACACTTACACCCAAACCTGCACCTCCACCATACCCTTGGCACACACTTTTCTTTTTCTTTTTGCATCCCCCTCTCTCTCCCACTCTCTCGCTATATCTCTCTCTCTCTCTCTCTCTTTCTCTGTTTCTCTTCCCTTTTTTCAGAGCATGAGCCATTGGCATTTACTAACTAAACACTGTTTGTCTTTGCTTGTGTGTGTGTGTGTGTGTGTGTCTATATCTGCGTGTGTATGTGTGTGCATGAGTGTGTCATCATGTCAGGTGTGCGCTCCTCTGTGTGTGTGCGTATGGGTGTGTTTTTTATCTTGTTCTGTTTCAGTTTCAGTTCTGCGTTTTCTTCTTGTTTCGCGTTTTTACAACGACCTACGAGCGGAAATTTTTTGCACAGTAAAAATATTTTTACGTTTATTTCGTTCACAGCTGGCTGCTAATGTAGGTGCCAAAGAAAGGGAGGGCCCACTACCCACTTATGTACCTACTTCGACCCCTCTCCCAGCCACACTACACACTACACACACTCTCCGGTCGGGAGAGGTCCGGGCTGCTGGCTGTAACTCGACTCTTTTTATCTGTCTGAATGTGTCTTGCACCCTTTCCTTTTATCCTTCTTCTCTCGTCATGCCCCCACCCCCCCACAGTGTGCTTAATTTTTATGCTGCAGTCTCCCACTCCCACATCTTGCAACAAGGTACAACAGTACAGTCAAGTCAGTTCGAGTGCGGGAGATCTGTTCTACCTTCTATTTAATAAACAGTTTCGGCACAGAACGGAATTGGAGCAGGGCGCAAAATTTATTCGAATGAAGTGAATTGTAAACAATGCCCGGAATGGGGCGAGCAGGCCATAACGGAGCTGCGATTGGGGCTGCGACTCAGATTGGAGGACACCTATTGAATCTGAATCTCCAGCAGCCCCAGCCTAGTGAATGGCGGATTAATTTTCATTTCCACTGCCGCCAGAATCGCAGCGGAAAAACTAAGAATATAGAAAAAAAAACGCGGACGGAAAGAAAAGGAGGGATAGCACCAAAAGTTCGAATATGAAATAAAAGACTCGATGCAGACAATGCCAAAAAAAAAACCTGAATACTTCCAGATGCTTCGGAGGCTTCGAAGAACAAGGAGGAGGATAGAAGGAGCGGGGAGCCAGGATAGCGGGGTTGAGACTGCAATCAACTTGCCGAAGGATTGTATAAATGTCAATGTCTACCGCAAGGCGATTTGATTAGGCCAGGGGTTCAGAGCGAAAGAATGGGCAAATTACAATTTTATCTTTGTGGCAATCAAATCAAATTATCGTGCAAAAATGCTTCAACTAAATTGAAAGAGTTTTACTTTGAAATATGTACTGCGTTACTTGAATAAATTAATTTTAAACCGCTCCATTTCGAATTTTCATTTAAATTTTTTAATTTCCATTTAGTCAAAAATCGCTCTTTCCGCACCATCAGTGATAATAATTTTCTCAAGCGGGAGAAAGCGCTCAATTTGGTTGCAAATGAGAAATCGTATCAATCGGATGGCTGCTCGGCTGCAATTGGTCTGTGTACGTGCACGTGTCCGTGTCCGTGTCCATGTCCGTGTCCGTGTCCGTGCCCCGTATCCGTGTGTTAGCGTCCGTGTGTCTGTGTGTTAATGGTGGGACTTTCTGGCCATCTGATGGCCAGTGCCAATTATCAAATAATTGTTGCAAATTAAAATACATTTTGTCGCCGTGTTTTGTTGTCACTGGAATATGTACGTGTAATGCGACATCGGCCCTGGAGGAAGGCGCGCTGGGTAAAATGAAACGAAACAGCACGCATGGCTTTAGGCAGGCTTAGGCAGGCTGCTGGCATTTATGATTACGAATGGCTTGTGAGCAGATAATTGCGACCATTGATGGCTCAAGAGGGGCAGGCAGAGGGGCGAGGCCGAGACTCTGCGATACGATACTGTGCAAACGACCCGAAACTATTTGTATACCCTTCTATAGTATCCCTTGGGGTGTTATGATTTAGACTAAATTTTTGTAATCATATAATTCAATGATATTCGCTTCGATATATCCATTTTCATGGGTTTTCAAGCTAAGAGTTGGACACTATATTAAAAACGAAAGGGAACGCTGTAAGCCGCTGCAGCTGCTGCGGCTCTGCTTTTATACATGGAACGCAGTCAGTATATGTATAAAGTATTTGAGCATATGATTTATGTAGGGGAGTGTAAGGTATGATGGCGTAATTACATCGGGCTTGGCCAGTGCATCGACATTGGTCGACATGCCAAGCGTAGCCGTTTCTACATCTGCACATCTGTACATCTTTGAAAAAAGTTCGGCCGTTAAAGTTGGAAACACCAGAAAAAAAAAAAATCAAATCCTGGTCGAAAGCTGATGAAATAAACTGTTTTGATATCCCCGGCAAATGTGTCCGTGCGACACGTGCAAAACATGATGCTAAGCTTAAAAAATAGTTTCCAATTTCCAGTTTCAATACACATCTAAATAATGTTTTATATGAATACACCAATACCATAGCTTACAACTTTCGAAAATAGTTTGCGCCAAAAGCTGTAGAATTTCACACCATTTAAATTTTAGCAACTGATTCTGACAGATTGCTATTTATGCTCAATTGATGTTGGCAACTGTCTGCTTTTGAAATTTTGAAAAATATTGATTCTTGAGAG